AGGAATTAAAAATACATTTTATTCAAATGTATCTGAAAATTTATCTCATAGAACAATTGATAGAAATTTCCTGTGATCGAACTCTACCTCAGATTTCAAAAATAACACATTTTTTAACCTTTTGGATGAACCGAAAAAAAAGAATTTAAAGGAATTTCAAATAAAACTTTTAAATTTTTACTGCCTTTTTTGAACAACTTATTTGTGTGAACAATTATTTTCCTCCATGTTACATTTGAAAAGTAAATACAGAACAAAATTTAAAATGGTTCCTAAATTACGGTTAAAACTAAGTGAAATAAATAAAATGATCTCTTCCCTTAAATATGACCAAACTTCACATTAAATTTTAGAATTATTTAACACAAATAGACAACAGGTTGTGCGAATGGCAAAATATATATACATATTTTAATGTTTCTATTGAGAAATGGAAAAATAATCATTGTAAAATGTAGTAGTGGTACTAAAGTTTTCCAGTTTCTGTTTAGATGGTACGCGTTAGTCAAAAGGTTGAGAACCGCTGCATTAGTGTGATTGAACCAAAAACTTTTAAACATTTACAGACATATATAAGATAGAAATAAAGAACCTTCTGTTAACTTGGACTTCGCTACGACTAAAGGTTGGACAGACAGTTTCTGTCGTAACATAAGAATCGATGAAGAAAATACATCGTCTGATAACGAAACATACCAACAGGAGCTATAACACTTTTTTTTTTTTTTTTTTTAAATCTTGGATATGTGATACGTCAGTTCACAACTACAAGCAATAAAAAAGAACATTGTGTATTAATTATTTATTCATAATACTTTTAGTTCAATAAGTGATATTTTAATAAACATATATTTCTGATACTCGTGAAAGCAAGTAGTGCGCTACTGTTAGTTTTTTTAAGCAAACTGTGCTTTCTGTACTATTTTTTTAGTTCATTACAATGCAGTTTCGCATAAACACTGCATTTCTGAGAAACCTAACTATCCTGTTATACAGAAATTAAATATACAGTAAAACAAATTATCGGTACTCTGAATAATTGGAATACTAATTCTTCACTCTAGGCAAAGTAAAATTAAGTTTGGTGTTAAATTATTTGAATATTCCTAATTTTTTTGATGATTTCAATAACATAAAAATACATTACAGTACAATATATACTTTTACGATAAGCTTCTAAATTCATTTCAGTGACTTCGTATGACACGTAAATTGACCTTCAATATTCGTCAAATATATATCTTCTACGCAATAACTGAAAAGCAATTTTACACGATATATATTAACAGAAAAGCAATTTCATGTTAATATATATCGGTCCACTGTTCTTTGTTTATTCATGAATCATTGCTTAACTACAACTTGTTAAAAAGGATACTTGTTGATCCTTTTAAAAAAAACAGATTAAACAAATGTGGTGGCAACAGCAGACACAAACGGCTCCCAAAAAGCTGATCTAAATACAATACAAAGAACATACCGAAGAACAAATGAAGGGTGTGCAGCAAAAATGAGATAACTCCATCCTGATGAGGAAGCTTGGAGTTACACATACTACTTTGTAGGTGAAAAAAACTTGTTCGTTAGGTATCCCCCCCCCAAAAAAAAAAAAGATATAAATCCGATTGTTAGTTCTCGTGATGTTCAACAGATGAAGCTGTCTGTCTCGTTAAGTCCCAATCACATTATGTTTCGACTACGAAGGACGTGACGTCGAAAGGGACAATTCTCAGAACCCGCACATTTCCTGGAAACCCACGTAGCTAGGTTACCATTTTCACTTACTACAAAGAACGCCAAACAGTAATGGATTATCGCTCAGATTGGGATCATGTGATCCTTCAGAAGCATAACTTTCGTCTGAAGATGTTATCACACTTGGCTACAGTCCCGGCTAGGCGGGACTTTTGTGAGAAACGATATTCTGGATGCACTGATTCAACCGGGAGGATTCCTAGAAAAAAGAACCCCTCCTGAAGCGAAGTCCTGTCTAGCTACGAAAACGATGTTGCGGCTACGCGGGATTTTTTTCAAACCTCACTGAAAATGTCTCGACTGAAGCTCTATCCAGGGTAGAGACAACCAATCAGACGAAAGTTCTGCTTCTGAAGCATCACGTGATCCTAATCTGAGCAATAATCGGTTAGTGTTTGGCGTTCAAGTCTTTGTAGTAAGTGAAAATGGTAACCTAGCTACGTGGGTTGCTTGGAATTGTGCGGGTTCTGAGAATTGTCAATTTCGACGTCAAGTCCCGCGTAGCCGAAGCATAATGTGATTGGGACCTGATTAGTTGATCTCTACGCGGGACTGAGCTGCAGCCGAAACATTTTCGGCGAGGTTTAAAAAAATCCCGCGTAACCGGTACATCGTTTCCGTAGCTAAGGCGGGACTTCGTTTCCAGCGGGGCTCTTTTTTCTAGGAATCCTCGGTTTAAACCAGTGCTACCAGAATCTCGTTTCTCAGAAAAGTCCCGTCTAGCAGGGACTGTCGCTAGATGTGATATCTCTTTAGTTTGTTGCAAGGTTACTCCTGGAGTTACCTCTCTTTTTCCTAAAAATGCTTACGTGGTCGTTGATAGAAAGCTTGCACAACAGCTATCAATAGCTTTTGGGTTCTAATTGGCATAATACTGTATATTGTTTTAAGAATAATTAGTGAATCGGAAAAAGAAAGAAATATTTAACTCTAGTGATTTATTTGAGCCTGCTGAATTGGGCTGTCATCTATAATAATGCTCCAGGCTCTTACCAACGACAGACGCCTTTAACTCTTTGCCACGATGAAATGTCGTGGGCTTGTGCTGACCTTTTCAGACAAGTGACATTGGTAACAACAACAGTACGAATATTTCAGCAAACTTACCGATCATGAAAAATATGGCTACTTGATTCTTTTAATAATACGGATGAAAAGCGAAGGCAATATGTCTGTTTGAAAGACCTCATTAATATCAATCGGATGCAACGGAGAAGATAACACAGATGATGGACAGACAAAGCACCAGATGAGCCAGAAGGGAAACTTGACCATTGAAAAATGGAACTATATTTTTTTTAATAAAATATTATAATAGTAGAATTTTTTTGGCGAACTTTTTTTCTTAGAAGCAGAAAGAACATCCATTTCGTGGCAAGAAAAATGCAGCTCCAGCAATCATACAAGAGAGCATCATCTGAAAGATACATTTTTGAGTAAAAATACTGTACAAATATGTAACAACAATTAAAAAAATTCATCAAAAATATTTTCACACAATTTAGAATCGTAAACTTTAAATTTTTTTAAGGTTTTCTGAAAACTTGAAAAATTAGAGTTATCTTTATTTTGCAGCAAACCCTTCAGATATTTAGGATATAAATAAATATCAACAAGAATCGGCGTGAACGAAATTGTGAAACCTTAAACATAAACCTTCTCCTTCATCAGCACGTTGAAAATGAAGACAGAGAAACATGTGCTTACGTGGTAATAAAAACAAAAAATTCGAGAAAGTTCCTGCGAAAGGACGGAAAACATGGCCACTGGTGCCTTCTGTTGACAAAAACGTAAACCAAAAAATATGTAGAAAATAATTTCCTGAAATACTAATTGTTTTCGTCATACTGATTGATTTGCTCGTGGATTTTGGTCGCATGGGCTCTGAATGATGAAACAATTATAGTGAAGAGCTTCAAAGGAAACAGCCACCTAATCCTCTTGAAGGTTGCGAAAATCATTGCACAAAGGAAGACAGACTGAGCAGTGACGACGACGATGACAATGGTGATGATGGCAACGACTTGCAAGCTATAGCAAACACCACTGATAGCAGTTTCAAAAATAATGAATGATTTGAAGCTTAGAATGCGCCAATAAATAGGGCAGGAGAGGTTCTAGATAACAAGAACCGGAAAGTAGAAATGAAGGTAACATATTAGATATTGTAATTATAATATTACTATGTATTCTTACAAGAATGCAGGTTGCTTTTAAATAAATAATATCGTGATAGTTACCAGTTAGTTTATCCATGAATACGTTTGAAAATAAATTATTCGCATAATTTTCTTCGTCCGATTTTTGTATGATAAAATTAGTAAAAAAAAGGGGGGGGGAAACGCGAGTAAGGTATGGTATTTTCCCGTCGTCTGCAAACGCGTACGATTACAACGATGAACGTAATTCAAAATTTATATGTGTCAGCGTTCTGGGTGAATGATAGAATTCTATTATCTTTTTAATGAAGAAACAATAAGTAAACGAATAAAAGTGGAAGATAAACTGACTACTCATAAGATCACCCGTTTAAATAATCAAGAATAGAATATATTGCAATAAAAATAACTGCATATGAAGTGCACTGGCTCGCGTTAAAATTTCAGGTAATGCAGAAGTACCTACTACACAAACAAAAATATCAACTTTCAGCTTAAAAATAATATATTACCATTATTAATTTTCTCTACTCAGAACTTAACGATAAATCTTATGAATTCAACCCCAACCCACTAATAACATTAACGCATTTCAACTTTTTTAACAAAAAAAAAAAAAAAAAAAAAAAATTATACATAAATTTTCATTTCTGAATTCTTAATTTTCCTTCCACCGTATCGGATAGTCAAATATATATGTATATATATATATATTTTTTTTAATGATAAGATTATTCAGAGGTCCAACATAAAATTGTTTTTTATATAACATAAAATTGTATTTATATTCAGAGGTCCAACATAAATTGTTTTTATATAAACAAAACTCCGAATCCATTTAGATTATTAATAATTTCATAGAATGAATGAGTCCTTCAAAAAAATTTTAAAGACGATATCTAATAGACGAATGATATGATATTAACGAACATATTTTAAATACTTTAGTTTGCACTTTGGAAATGACCCCTTACTCTGACACATAAGCGTCAGATGTTATGCTTGCAAACGCATTCACTAATCTGCTGTCACTGCCGCGCTCATCTTCAGTCAGGCGGTCTTTTTAAAGGTGACATCCGATACAATAACTTTTCTATAAACAATATTCATGGAAAAAAAAAAAAAAAGAGAGTCGTTGTAGTGCCTGAAAGACTGCAACAAGACGTCACTCCCGCCCTGATACTCCCCAGACCTCACACGTGATTACGAGCAGTGATGGAATGCTTTTCGTTATCCTCTCGTGAGCGATGGAACAGTGTAGACGCAACTGGTAGACATTCCACAAAAAGTAAAGTCAGAGGTCAGATGCGAACACACACCAGAAGAGGTTAATCCGATAAGATTTCTCAGCCAAATAAAAATAATAATACAAAAAAAAAAGGCATTTTCCTTTTTCTGCTGCAGTAATACACAGAAGTCATCCATGAAGTGTTCGCGTTCCCAGTGTCGTTTCGGATTTGAGTTTACAATTTATTTCCTATGCAGTGCAGCGTTATGGTGTGCAGATGTGATCAGTGGTACGACTTTGATGAAACGGATACGGGAAAAGCAGAATGCGGACGATGCTATGATGAGAGGTTTGGAAATGAGCGGTGATACCTGGGTTCAAATCCCACAACCTGTACAAGATGTACTCGTGTCAATAGATGATAAACTTCGCAGTCTGGACACATTCAGCTACACACTGAAACTCGCACGATTGGATTTTTCGCTCGATCAGCTGGTGCGACGGATGGAAAACATCGAAACTAAACTCGGCAGACTCGAGACGAAGTTCGATGTGCGCATGGAAAAAGTGGAAGAAGTTATAGTTAGCAAAGACATTAAGGAAGAATTCTCGAATGAGCATTTATCTCACCGAATGGAAAATCTTAATGAAAAAATTAACAACAAAGCGGCATATTTAGATGCGAAACTTGACATCAAATTAGAAAAAGTAATGAGCAAACTTGAACTACTAGAACGGGATTTACACAATTCTGTGGATGACATTCTTGAGCGTCTTATTAAAAGCGAAGAAAGACATGGAATTTTAGAAAATGACATGATCAGAAGGGAAGAGAAACTAGAAGAATTAAACAATAACGTGAATGACGTCCGATTATTTTTAAAAGAAGAACTCTTGAACTTGGTTACCAAAAATTTTGAACACATTAATCACAGATTAGATAATATACAACTGTCATTATACAGCAAAGAAAACAAAAGTGAAAGAGCTCTAACTGACATACAAGCAAGTGTAAATGGTACAAGAGAGCGTATGCTAACAATGCTTCAAGACAGCAATAATAAAATAAATAATTTATCTGCGACATTTAATCAAGAAGACAGGAGCAGAAGTGCTGTAGATATGTGTGATGTAAACAGAGTAGTAACACAAGAACAATTAAAAAACCTCACATCCGTACTGGAGAAAGCTTTAACAATTGGAGAAGCTAAATTTAAAGAACTTGATTCGGATGTAGAACTTTACACAAGGAAAATTATAAACGGAATTCAAGAACTGTGGAAGACATCTGACGAATTAAAAATTTATTTATCTAATACATTAGAGCAGGGAAGCAAAACCCGTGAGATAGTTAGGCAAGAATTCCAAAGATTACACGAACAAATAGAACCTCTTCCCAAATTAGAGCCAAAACTTTCAGATATTAGCGAAGATCTAGATAAAAAAGTGGTTGAGCTGAGTAACACTGTAGATAACAGTTTCGCAACACTTCTAATAGCTCAAAATACATTTATAGATTCCTGCAAGAGAATACAACAAGAGGAGATGCACATATATGATATTCTTCAACAGATAGTTTACGAAATGCGCAATAGATCGATAGCTGATGTTCACAAAATCAGTTTAGAGCTTCAAACACAAAGTTCTCAAATAAATAAGTCATTAGCTCACGTTTTGACAGCTATTCTATTAACCAGCAATATCACAACAAATGCACTAAATGAACTACTGATACAAATGAAACAAAAAGATCAATGCGTAATTTTAAAAGCTGACAGCATCGACTGGAAAGTTATGGAATCAATCTGCCGTCAAGTTTCGGTAGATGAAACCTCACATTTCTTTGAAGAAAATAATCAGAGGAACTTAAATGAAATTTCGGAAGATAACGACGAAAATCTAGCCCAAAATCATTCTATTCAGAAACCAAGAAACGAAAGAAAAGCACATGATAATAATCAAGATATAAGAAATGAACCTGTTGATGATTCTTTGAACTTAAATGACTACGAAATTGATTATCAATTATCCGAGACTGAATACGGAGAAAATGCTTGAAATTTCATTTGATATATCAAAGATTTCGTATAACCGTTAACAGAAAAGAAAAAGGAAAGTGAGGTAATACATATTTAAAATGAACCAGTCCAATATATTTTTATAAACATAAAAGTATAAACATGAATTTCAATAATTGTAATTTTTTTCAAATATTTTGCATTCTTAAAAGAAAAACAAAATATATCTAATAAATCAATTTGACAATGCATAACTTTCCATATCTTAATAACAGACTTTTGAAAATTTTGAATTGTGGACTGTATGCACCACGTTTTTTAAATGCTTTGATTTGCTACTGAACAGGTAAGATCAGAATCATATATTTTCAAAACTTTAATATTTAAACATGAATGAATTTTTCAATTCATAATTTTTTTAAGTAAAAAGAAATACAGCAATTTCTTTTCTTTCTTTTTCTTTTTCTTTTTTTTTTTTTTTTTTTTTCCCTTAAGTTCATTGGTACCTTGAAAAAATTAAAATATTCAAAAGTTTTGAATGTTTAAGACACAAACAGTCATAAGTTATTTATGAATTATAAATATCCATAAGTAAATGAAAACAGCAATATTAAATTAATTTCAAATAATGTAAAGAATTAGTCTCTCTTTAGATATGTAAATATATATAGAACATTCTCTAATAATATTTTAAACTAATCAGTTTAGGCCATATTTATCAGCTGAATCCAAGGAAAGAAGTAATTGCAAAACTGTTACAAAAGATAATAAATTAAGTCTAATGAAGCTTATTTGAAAGGCTTGATTTTGTATATCTACACTGAATGTATAAAAATTTTAAATCTATTATTTGAAAGGTTCTAACTCTGCATTGAATGTACAGAAATTTAAAACCTAGGATGGAAGATATATTCTAGCAAAGAGCTAACAAAAAATATAATTCATTTCATATTTTTAAATTTATTCTATATTTCTGTATTGGTTAAACATGTTAATCTAGCCTTTTTTCTTTTTTTTTTTAAACATCAGATTTGCCTCAATGTAAATAAAACAATTTTAAAATTCAAATGCTAGGAGACTTTGCTATCTTATTTAAGGCTGCAAACAATTTTTTCCCTTCTTCTTTTATATCTCATTTAAGTAAAAAAATTTTAAAGGAAATCAATTTACTGGCTTTATACTTTTACAACTTACAACTCAATATTTTCTCTGTATAGAATCTTAGTGTTTAGTGAGTTATGAAGCCAGATTATATTTACAATGAGAGGGAAACTTGAATTTAAAGCCAAATTCTAAGGTGATGTTCAAACATTTTTACATTTACTTGCAATTAAAGAAAGGAACAAATATCGAGAAAGTAATAATTAAAGCTTTAGATCAATAATTTATGATTATGAAGCATTTTTACTATTTCAGAGAACATATTTATGGTTATAACAACCATTATTAAAGCAAGAAAATACAATGAAGAAAACAGCTCAAATATGATAACTTTCATTGATCTCTCATAATTTATAACTGTTCCTAGTTATTACAAAAAAATGAAGGGGTAAAAATTATCCCATTTCTTTCTGTGAAACGTATCTTAAACTTCAACATGCAGCTAATAGATTGCATTAATAAAATCAACACTTCCCTTCCTGGAACAGTTACCTCTTTGTATACAATAAGTTGTCATTGTTTTAGGAAGATGTCATTCTTTACTTATGTTATGATTTTGTAAATTAATTAATACTGATATTTGCAGAAACTTAATACAAAAGTTTATTTTTGTAATTGTTATTAATTAGAAAATGCTATTTGCTTTACAAAATTAACATAAAAAACAAAACTACAAATTATTAGTTATTAAACTATTAAATGTATCATCATCTTTGGAATACCTGATTTTAATACAGTCAATTGTTGATGCAAAAACATTTTAAACATGCTAGTGCTCAGTACCTTAAGCACAGAAAGGTTAATGGGCCTTATATTTGAATATTTGACAAATAACGGTTTTAGCCTTCTAAAATGAAGTTCGAACAGTTTTAGATTTATTTTCAAGAAACGAAGATAATCCTTCATTCAGTGCAGTAACCTGCTTCTGGCTTTGTCTGGAAAATGTCCCAAATTTGGGCATTCTATAAATATTCCTAAATTTCGCATATGTAATTGATATGAATGAATATGATATGTATTAATGCCACTCCACATATTCATGCAAATATTTTTGGGAGATCAGAAATATATTCAGTAATCATATAATTTTAATTATGCATTTTAATTATGCATTTTTGGTCCAAAAAAGACTGGTCCATGAAATTAAATTAACTGAAGAATTTTACATGGATTACCTCTAAAATATTACAGAATGTAGGTATGTTTAGGAAGTTAATTTCTGAAAGAAATTATTTTGATAGAAGATGATTATCTGAAAACAAATTATTGAATGAAATATTATATTTAAAAAGCTATGAAAAACCTAAAACATTTAAAAAGTTGTCTGAGGAAGAAACTGAAATAAATGAAACTAGATTCTTTCCTTAGACATGTGGGGCTACCTTTCCCCGCCCCCCCCACACACATTTCTTCGGCAAATTAATTAATCAGACCATTAATCAGATCCCAAAGTCAGAATAATCATGCACATTGCTGTAACTGGCAACAGTTACAGCAATATAGATTATATTTCAACAATAATTATAATAAAAATGCATGCTGTCCACTTCTAAAAATGGACGATATATATGACACTGGTATTGAATCGGTGCTGCTTTAGAGATATGATTATTGATAAAATAATTATAATTGGTTGGTGTTGAATCCCATTGATAATTATGTTTTCTGAAGCAGCAGTTCCCAAACATTTGAATAAATTCCTTTAGGAGCCCTCTTCAGCCTATCCTATATCTTACAAGTTAATGATGTCTAAGAATAGCATTACACAGGTAGAAAAAATGTATACATAGTAAAAGAATACAAAGTAAGGAGATATATAAACAGTTGGTGCAGAGAGGCATTTCACATTCAAAAAAATCTTGCTGTTCTAGTTAACGACCCTAATTCCAATCCATCTTTGCCTTCAGCCTTTAAAGAAATTATGTTTTAGTTCTGGTTTCATCAACAGATGGCACCAGTAGCTTATCTCCTGTCCACACTTTCTTATCTTATCTAATCATTATATGTTATCTCGCTCATTTGTGCTTTTGCAGCTGAAGATGATTTGGTAAAACCATTGAAACTAGTCCTGTGAAAATTTGAGAATGTAACACTGATTTTTGTTGTTTGACTTCTAAACTAATATTTGTTCGGCGTGTTATTGTATCTTAATAATGTTGGTGCAACATCCATGAAATTAAATATTAAAAAAAATAATTAATAATGTATCTTATTATTTATCTCACAGGAATGTAATATCTCTATTTATTCGCAATGTGATATTATCAAAAGTTAGCCATATGTAAAAATTCTTCCAAACCTCACTAAATTAAACCACTCTGTATTACAACAGATGTTTTATATCATTGCTGAAAGCATCATTAAGGTTATTACAAGAACTTCGGTTCCTGCAAGTTATCATTACATGTAATTCAATTCAAATATTAAATATTTGTTCATTACTTTTTATGCGAAACTTTTATTACTCATTATTGAATATAATTACAATTCAGTGTTACTATTATGCAACAACAGTTCACTATAGGCCTAAATTAAGACATAACATAAAGAGACACAAAAACATTTAATGAAACAGTTGCATTTTTGTGCACAGTTTCTTAATTTAATGTTAAGCTGTTGCTAATTGCAGGTGAATGCTTTGCTCTGCATTGATACAAATTCTGTATATTGTTTTGGTGCCTGTACAGGCAGAGTCCAGCTTTACAGGATACACAGTTCAGAAAGACAACAGCACAAATTTTGCTTTCTCAGATATGATTTTAAATTCATCTTGTATGCTATCAAAATTGCTGTAGACTTTGGTTTTGAAACATGATTTTTAATTTACTATCAAACATATAAGCGAATTTGATAGTTTCTTGTTCATGTTGAGCACATTTAAAGTCATTCAAGCACCTTTCCTTGAGTTATCAAAAAAATAAAATTCAAGATGCACCTGAATATTTTTGTGTATGTGTGTGTGTGTATTTTTTTTTTTTTTTTAAATTTTGACATTGTTTTCTTCCTAGAAGAATTTTTTAAGAGTGATGCAATCATTATCTTCTCCCAAATCCTCTAATAATTACATAACTTTCTCTTAAAAGAAGCCAATTTGGCATTTGCATCAAAATTTGTGGTATATTTTCCTAGCAATGATAGATTCATTTTGTTTATTATGCTACAGATTTTGACTAATAGATCCCATTTTACACACCCAGCCTTCATCAACTTAAACCACTGCCAATGCAGCATTATGATTAGTTAAAAATTCTACTATCTGTGCATGCAATTTTATCCAAATATATGAAAGCTTTTTCTCAAGATAACCATCTTACTTCAATGTGCAGCAGCAAGGCCTCATGGTGGTTTCCCGAGTCTACTTTTAAGAGGCTGCATTTAATGAAATGCTTAATAGCTACACAAAATCAAATGCACAAAAAACGTATGAAGTTGAAGTATTATCACTATGAACATTCACAGTGAAGTGACTCCAAATCAACTAGTTGTCTGTATATAGAGGTAGCTAAGTTTTAAAAGTGGTGAGTGATTTCCTGGTAATTTTGAAGGATCAAGAATGAATTAGAAGCTTTTCAAATGTGCAGTTCCAAGGAATGGTTATGCAACTTCTTCTGGAGGAGGCGCAACATTCAACTTAACACATTTCTGTGTTCAGCATGTAAGGGATCCCTTAGAGATTGGGAACTATGTTAACTGACAAAAATAATTTAGAACTGCGGTATATTTGAGTGTGAAAAACGGGGGGGGGGGCTGACCGGACTAATTATTTGAAATAATAATCAGTTTTTTTTAACCCAAAGGGACTAGCAAAGAAGGCTATAAGTCTCGAAACACTAAAAGTCGAATCACTAAAAGCGCCATATCACTTTTGTGTCGAATCACTTTTCAAATTGTTGCCACCAAATATTATATACATTCTGTATTATATTTAAAGAAATTAAATAATGAAGAATCTGAATAATAAACGCGATTTCTTTTCATATTATATCAAAAGAATATCTCTGCTTTATGAGAAATCAAAAAGTAAAGATTATATGATATTAGAAATTTGAATTTTGCTAATTTGGTTTAACAAGTTGAAGAATTTTAAGATTTTATGTAGAGAAGATTATTAACATGATTAATACATTTTTGCATTATTCTTTAATTATCTTTGAATGAATTAATATTTTGATATTTTAACAATGAGATTCTTCTTTAAAAATTTGAATTCCAAAAATTTTCTGATTATTTTAAGAATGAAATGAATATAAACTTTGAAGGCTCGCACTTCATGATTTTTTTCAAATATAATTACATTATTTTTATAACGGAGTAAAGTTTAATTTTTTTATACATAAATTAAATGTTTTAGTGCAGTTCAAAAAGGCCAGTTGCCTTTAAACCAAGAGCAGAGGCCTTTTAGAAATAACTGCCAAGAACACCTCATAACCATTAACCATCGGAGATAATTCATACAATAATTTGTTAATATGAATTTGCTCTTAAGATGAATATATTACTACTTAGAGCGGGGCTTTTTAAACTTAGTCGTGAGCCCTTTTTATCACAAAGTTTTTTTCGCGACCCCATAATATTTACGAAAATTTTGTGGGACCTCCATAAGCATTGCATGAATCTGACACACGTGTTAGTGAAACTGTCAATTTTTTTACATGTACTGTAATATACTATTGCAGTTTTAGGTCATCAAGTTTAATTTCTAATTTTAAGACATAGAACTATGTGAAAATTTTAAATAAGTAACAGATGAAATGACAGTGTCACGTGCAAAGCAAGTAAAATGAACGTTTATATTATAGAAAGAATGCATCGAAACGTTTTTGTTCTCTCTTTGTCTGTATTGTCTTACCTTTATCTATTTTCAGATACATTGTGTAAAAATATTTGGTAATTGTAAAATTATTATAGTATAAGTTAAAGAAATATCGAAAGTGCTAAAATTTTTGACGACTCCCTGCTGCAGGTCCCATTACCCACAGTTTAAGAAACTCTGATTTAGAGAAAGCTGTGGGGTCTTTCAATTTTAATTTCAAAAATATCATAATAATCATAAAAAGCATAATGTCAATAAAACTTTTTCCAGTGTTATATGGAATGAGAATTAGTTAAATTTTTTAATGTATTTTGATAATGTATAATTATAAACAGATGTATTCATAACTTTTATATTTATAATATTCAGTCTACCAGAAAATTCTGTCCATTTTTGCAATAAAACAAAATACAAATTTTTAATAATATAGTAATGTTAACAAATAACTGTGAATAAACTTTATTAAATAATATAATTGCCATTATTATTAATGACTTTTTGCCAGCGTGAGGGCAATTTGTATATCCCTCTTTTGGAAAATAATGTAACTTTTGATGCAAAAAATTGAGCCAGTGCTTGTTTGATATCTTCTTCATTTTTGCCTTTCAAAAAATTTTGTAAGGACAAAAACAAGTATAGTCGGAGGGTGCTAAGTCCAAGGAATATGGTGGATGTGACAGAATTTCCCAGTCTAATTCTGCAATTTTTGACAAGTCCCCCAAATCAGCATGTGGCCTGGCAATATCATGATGGAGTATGATGTCCTTCCTATTGAACATCATTGACCTCTTTTCTTAGATTGCTGTCTTTAAATTGTCCAGTTGCTGGCAACGCTTCTCGGAATGGAGCTTTTCGTTCAGATTTAAAAGCTCATAATGTATTGGTCCTCGAATGTCCCAGCATATAAACAACATTGTCTTATTCAGAGTCAAATTTGGTTTAGAGGTAGAAGGGCTAGGTTTTCAGGGTTCACAGTATGCACTTTTCCTTATGTTTCCATAGGTAATCCATTTTTTATTCCAAGCACGCAGAGATGTGCATATGACGACTCGATCATTCACATTTTTATGACTTAATTCATGTGGCACCCATCTTGAATATTCTCACACCAATCCTATCTTCCGAATATGGTTTGCTGAGCCTTTCTGTGATCTCTGTTGTTGTCAGAAAAGGATCTTGCTCCAAACATTGTCGTTGATCTACGATGGTCGCCCAGAACGTGGGTTATTAGAGAGGTCGAAATCACTTGCTTCAAATTTTTCGAACCATCTTCTGCATGTCCCTTCAGAAACTGTACCTTCACCAAAAACTTTCAATAAATTTCTACATTCTTCCGTAGCATTTCTTCCTTGTTGAAATTCATATAAAATACAGTGGCGTAAATTAACTTTATCAGTAGTTATGGCTACGTTATTGCTTCACACTTAAGACTAAGGTGAATTAACTCCGTTTTTATTAATTTGCTACGTCAGTATGTATACAGAGATAAAAATAGAGCCGAACATGTGCCAAATAAACATGTGCTTACATGTCGAAAATTGTTTTCATAAAATGGACAGAACTTTCCAGTAGACCAAATATTATGTGGAAAATTTTAAAAGGCCACCCCTACACAATTATGAAGATTCTAAATTTAATTATGACAATTATACTTCCAAATTTGACTTTTTCTCTCAATCTGGATTTATTTTAACTAAAAGTTTTTCTTAAAATTATCACTGTAGGGTAATGTAAAATTACGTTTACTAGTATGTAATGTAAAAGCATTTTTATGACCATAACACTAAATTGAAACTTTATCGTACAATACTCAAAAACCAATTACTTTTTCCAAGGAACAGAGGCTTTTATGTGTCATTGTATGAAGGGTGTTC